ACACTACATACTAGGATCCACATATGAAAAAGAACATCGAAGAAGTTTTTGTCTTTCTGAGTTTGAGTTACCTTGCTTACTATTTTACCTTCCAGATTTACCTGTTTTCCTGAAAATTTCATGGTTTTTAGAGCTGTGTAAAATTTCATTATGCATTCGCACTACATCTTCATTACCTGTTAATCTGTTGGTGGGCATTTAGCCTACCACCATGCAAAGAGCAGCAAGAAACATGAATGCCCACAGAGGATGGAGTCCTTTGTGGATATCCTATACACAGGAATGGTATAGCTGGGTCATGGGATAAGTTTTTGAGAAGACATGTATACTGATTTCCATAATGGTTGTCCTGTTTTGCACTCTTTCACCACTGACTGTCAGATTTCTGGATGGCAGCCATTCCAACTGGGTGAGATGGTATCTCAAAGTAGTTTTATTTGCATTTCCCTAATGACTGGAGATGTTGAACACTGCAAAATATTTATTTGTGTTTCTTTTGAGAATTGTCTGATTTCTTATCCCATTTTTTGACTTGAGATTGGGGGTTTTGATGTTTAATTTTTTTAGTTTTTAAATTTTATTTTATGTGCATGGGTGCCTTATGAACATATTGTCTGCACCACAGGTGTGGCTGTTTTCTGTAAAAGCAAAAAAAAAAAAAAAAGATGTCAGATCCTCTGGAACTAGAGTTACAAGTTACAGATGGCTGTGAGCCACCTTGTGGGTCCTGGGAATAGAACTTGGGTCCTCTGGAAGAGCAGGCTTTTGAGTGAACTATAGTGATCATTTAAATTCTATCCAGGTCCAAGTAATTAATAAAAAAGTTATCTAAGTCAATCTAATTTTTAAATTTATAGCTTTTGTAATAGTTTAAAAAGGTTAGAATATTTTCACACTACCTTCTAATATTTCTGTTTTCATGCAACAAACATAACCATCTGAAAAAATCAAATTGTACCTACATAACAATTATGTCAGTAGACTTAAAAAAGTGAGATTAGAAATAAAATCAGATAAAAATATATGCCTTTAAATGCTGTCATTGGAAAGACAGAGAATGAAGAAAAAATAAGTAAATGAACAAATGAATGAACAAACCAAGCATTCAGCCTTGAGGAAGAGAATATTGTAAAAAGAAATAACAGAAAATTGTACTTCAGAATGTAAGGTAAGGAGATACTTTAAAATAAATTGAAAAAGGTTCTTTTTCACAAATATAGACAAGAATCTAAGAAAATTGTATTATTTTTAGTGGAAGGAATTATGTTTGTCTTTTGGGGGTCTTTGGGTTTTGTTAGGGAAAAGACGATTTTTGTTTAAAGCTTCAGAAAGACTTTAGATGGTGCCTGAAATGGGTCATGTAAAAGGTCACTGCATGTAAGGTAGTGAAGACTCTAGAGCTCTTTAAGCTGAGGGGGAAACGAGGGAGTAGAAAAGGCAGCCAGAGTCACCCATTTCCACAGTCACTGAAACTGATCAAAAAAAAAAAAATCCCAAAATAGTACAGTCAGAGCTGAATTATGATGCTAATATTTCAGGGAGATTCTTGCTTCTTCAGAAAATGCTGCTGAAAAGGTAGTGCCGAAAGTCAGTAAGTTCTCGGCACTATTTTAAATCTGTCTTAAGTGTGCTGTCTTTCTGACAGCAGACAATACCCACAGAGACTTCAGTCACATGGATTTGGCTATTCAGTGTGCTGTTATTCCAGATTTCTCTGGCTGGTTCTTTCAACACTGCACAGTAACTCCTTTTCCAGTCCCTGCCCTTCTTCAGATCTGGCAACTACATTAATTCCCATGACTTCATAGTGTACACCACAGCCACTAGTACTATCACAGGCCTTTATTAGTTCATGTGAAGGAGGTTGCTGTCTTATCCAGCAGTAAATTGAATAACTTTGATGTAAAAACTGTCTTGCCTGGAAAAACAAGCCAGGGAAAACATACTTTTCCTAAAAGTACATGATCTTATATCTTAAAAAACTTGCCTTCAGGAGTTGTTTTAAAAAGAAACTATACTTGTAGAAGTTCTGAGTAGTACATGAAGAATACTATATTTAAAAAACAAGAACATTTTTAAAAGAAGCTCATCTCTTTTTAAAAGCTGTTCAGATGAAGAAAAAATTCTCAGCACAAGCTTGATCTCTATGTTTTTGTGGTTATTAGTAGTAATGAAGATACATTAACCATACTCTCTTGATAATGCTGTAGCTGTTTCCTGGTACTTGTATCAACATATAAATTTCACAACTGGCAATCTGGGAATTTGACTAGTACATTTTTGTTTATATAAAGGGGTAGCAACATTATACATTTCTTCATATCTTTGAATTATGGATCTTGATTTGCACGCAAGCAAGGCAGAAATGCAGATGAACATGTCAGCCACCCTTGTGCTGCCACTCACTCGGAATAGGACATGTGCAGGCTGCTGAGTGACAGTGGCAGAGACGACCACCTCATTAGTCCAGAACTGATGAGTCCTTTTTATTTCATTCATTTTTTTTATGCAGTAAACATGGATTGAGACCCTTCTCATTTCCCAGCTATGGTGTGTGCATTATTGAGTATGTCCTGCTTCATTAGGAGCTAGTAAAAACTGAAAAGTAAGTGGTGCTTAAGCATTGTATATCCTTACTTCCACTAGGAAACAGTTTTAACAGATTTTCAGAAAACCATTAAGCAGCTCAATTCTGCAAATATGAAACTTCACATAAAAGGAATCATTTGAATTAATTTTATTAAATTATTTTTACACTGCATTGAGATATAAGTAAGTAAATCTTTCTTTTATAACACTTAAATATGAGTAGTTCTTTTCCAGTGCAGTGTAAGCCTTCCAGTAGCTAGTCCATAACATTAGCTGATGCCATTTGAGGAGACTTTATAGAAGGAAGAAACATGATGGTGTTTCCTTTTTATTACAGAACTATAGGTTGGTTCTGTTTCACAGTGGCAGCTAGTAATGCCAGGCAGAAAGCTGTCACCTGAAAAGGAGAAATGCTTTGAAAGTGCTGCCAAGTAGATATGGGAGAAAGAAATGACAGTAAAAGTCAAGGTAACTAAAATCTAATAAACTTGTTTTCACTTTTATAAGAAGTGAAGTGCCTACTAATGATTTGAGAAGTAAAAATATAAACTTCGATATTGTCATGGAGTTGTACTACCTCCTACAACTAAAATTATTTATGATCATAACTAGTCCAGGTTAATAGCCCTGAAATATACTACAAAAGTGGATCATTTAGGAGATAGTTGTTCATATAATTAATTGTTTGGTCCACTCTCTTTGCCAGACACATTTGTAGCGCAGGTCCTGTCAAAGAGAAGACAAGAACGACATTGTGAGATAGCAGACTGGGGGAGGTAGGGATAGCTAAGGGGTTGGTACCTAGTACATGGTGGAGTACAATAGGTGTGGACTTTTGGATCTTTACCAAGAGAAGATGTCCAGCTATGTTTGTGGATTTCCTTTATACTACAAAGGAGATTTAAAAATCATATACATATCTAAGTATGTTTATATTAATATGGTTTGGATATAAAATTTTCCTCCCAAAAGTTTCGTGTCTCTAGCTTGGTCCTTAACTGGTACATCCAACTATTGAGAAATAATTGGATCATGAGAGCTCTGATTTTCTCAGTGTATTAATCACTCATAGATTCCTAATATGATGACATTTTTGGAAGGTGTTAGAAAGTAGGAGGTAGCACACGGTTGGTGAAAATAGGTTATCAGAAATTTCTTGCCTAGGCCCTTCATGTCTAATCTGTCTGCTTGCGGTGAAGCCAGCAGCTCTGTTCTGCAGTATGCTTCCATACTGCAGACTTGACCTTGCCTGACACTCAAGGTAATGAAACCAGCTATCTACCGACTTAAACCATGAGCCAAAATAAACCTGCTCTCCAGTCAGTGGTCCACACTGTCACCTTCAGCAGCCTTAAAGTTAGAGGTCTCAACTTACCTAAATAGAGTTTTGTCTTCAGCTAAGAAACAAATTTTACGATAAGCCAGTATGAAACAGGCTTTATTTTAAAAAAGGAGATTTTCATATAGTTTTAAAGTCCAAAGATAAGAGGTAAAGAGGCACTTGGAAAGAAAGACACACCTCAGAATATGGATAAGGCTTCTCAAAAAAGAGCCCTGGTTTGTTAAAAGACATTTATGGTGCAGATTTAAGTACAAAGATTATCAAAGAAAGAGCGCTACTCCATCCCCAAGTGTTAGGCTTGAGCTTACAATGGGAGAGTTGTAATTAAATGTCTCTGCATTAGCCATGTGTAGTGTGTTGGTGGCTCTCACATTGCATCTCAAACACTTGCTAAGAAGCTTCCTACCTTTCCTGCCTGGGTTTGACAAGTGAGTTAGTTATAAGTGGCTCCAGAGATGCCTTGGATGGGATTATCGTCTGATAACATAAAATCGGAAGCCCCTGGGGCTGTATGTACAAGCGTTTCTAGTGAAACTCCTGGAAGGAGTTATAGGTTTATAATTAGGAGAAGAGAAAGCTGTTAAGCAAATGGTGTGAGTTTTGTTAGAATCTTTGGTTCTCAGCTGGCTAGAGGCATCTAACAGACTCTAGGGAAAAGAGCTTCTTTTCTTTCCTATGTTGTAATTTCTCTTCTTTCTGTCCTACCTCAGTTCCTTAAGTTATTTAAGCCAGGTATTCTGTTACAGCTAAGAAAGTCAGACTAACTTATTTCTTTTTAACTAGAGTATTCAGGAGTCGAAGTGTACCTGCTTGGGCAGCTGTACCCTTAGAAACAAGCACAGCATTGACACAAAATGTGCCTTATTGAAGAGAATGATTGATGATACTCATTTTCCATAAGACACAATGCTGTTAAGTTTGTACTTCTTTATATATCTGACTTAGTAAACAGCCTTTTTCAAGGTTAGACATGCTGTTTTTATTCCATTGGAGTATGTGAGATGCATTATCCTCTGAGTTAAATAATGTTTACCCACTTCATTTGATTTTTCTCTTTTTCATCTCAAAGGGCCAATGCCAGGGGTACTCCCCTGAATATACAAAAGGTCTCCAACAGCCTGATCAACTTCGGAAGAAAGTTAATTTCCCCAGCCTCAGCTCCAGGCAGTATGGGTTGCCCTGTACCTGGGAGCAACAGCAGCAGTTCTTTTTCTTCCGCCATGCCCACAAGGAACTCCACAGAAACCACTAGGCATCATTTGCTGCTGCAGCAGCAGCAACAACAACAGCAGCAGCAACAGCAGCAGCAGCAGCAGCAGCAGCAGCAACAGCAGCAGCAACAGCAGAGACTGATGAAATCTGAAAGCATGCCAGTACAGTTGAACAAAGGTAGGAGAAAATTCCAGTAAATCCAAAGAACCCGAAGGGTAGCCTGAGATTTTTCTCACTTGCCTGTGAGAAACCATCACTCAAGCAGAAATTCATAAAAACTTAATTTTACAAATATCTATTGTATGTGATCTTTTAAAGTTGTAGATTAGATGTTGTATTCTTAAGTATATTTTATGAGGTATTTGCCAACATATTTTTGAGCATTTGTACTGCTGTGTGTCCTACATTTTGTTATATAGATGCCCATCACGTATGATAGTGTGAACTGTCTCCACATAGAACTCAGCAGTTGACTGTTCTCTGATATCGCTATGATAAGTGCTTCTGAGTCCTGATATCCTTCAGAGGAATCTGAAATGGGAAGACCCAGTAACATGGGCTATAGTAGTCACAGCATTTAGCAACATGTAAATGATTTAGAAGAAAGCTTGTGGCTTTTCATCTCATCCAAGCGTTTCATTGCTATGGAATGCAAAATGAATCTTTAGGAGAAAACAAAAGCTAAATGAAATCTTAAGCAGCCAAAATAAGCATTCATGTTCATACACTAAATGGTACAGCCATAAAATGGGTGTAAGAGCAGACAACCTGAGGAGTGATGGAGGCAATGTGCTTCATTTGCTGAGGAAGACACTGTCTTGAGCATGCATGCTGTTCTGTTTTCTTTCGGGGCCTGCCCACTGCTTTTCCTCCCTTAAGCTCCGCCCACAGAGAGCCTTTTGTAGAAACAAATATATTTCTTTTTACTGGTGAAAATATTAATTATACACTGGAATTAAGAAATAGCAACATGATGGCAAAAACTGCACAGAAAGCATAGTAATTTATGGCTGTTCAGTCTTACAAACATCCCAACTAAAACTTGACTTATGCCTTACAGGAATACCTATATTAATAGCAGCATTCAGTACTTATTGGAATCAATAGCAACCGTAATGCAACCACAAACAAAATTTAAAATAAATTTACTTACTTTGCCTAAGGACATCGCATACAAAATTATCATAAAGATTTTACATATTGGTATTTAAATTGGAATTTAGTCCCTGGTGATGCCAATTAATGTGCCATGCACATGCATGTACTTTGCTGTCATCATGTTTTTATTTTTTATATTACTTTGTCTATATGAAATATTAGGTTCTATATGATTAGTATTTAAGGTTTATTAGAATATTCAGTTTACCTTCTATGAGAGTATCTCACTTAAAATTACATTCTTCTTTTTAATGTTGATTGTCACACATGATTTAAAGAAAAGGAGACATCAAGTCATTAACATGTTGAAAATGTATGTATCTTAATGCCAGGAGACATGCCCACTTCCAGAATGGAAATGAATGTTATTTTATATATCTCTTAATTGTACTGTTTTATTGTTCTAAACAAATATGATTTCAATATTGCTTTGATAACAAGCTTTAGTCTGCTGTAATTCTGACTGATGGCAGGCAAATGAGTCAGAGAATCTCTTAATGCTTTAGCTTAAATTTTCTGAGAAACCAAGCCAAATGACTATAGAAATATAAAGTTGTATCTCTAAGGAAATGTCAAGTATTAATATCACAGTAAGTGAGAAAGGAAGCGCATGGAGATGGAACAATTGCTGAATACTAATTCCCCAGTTATAAGGCAACAACAGAGCACTTCAGCACTGTATTGGAACATGAGTATCACTGAGGCATCTTGTAACTGATCCCTATCCTAAGAGAAATTGCCCTTGATTTTTTTTTTTTTTAACAGATCTTCTAACTTGTTTCTGGTTCATTTATCTTATGTCAACTCCCACTAGCACCTCCCCTTTCAAAAAAATAAAAAACAAAACAAAATAACAACAAAAACAAAAACTGGTCTACTTTGTATATTAACAACAAAATCCCTGCTAGTGTTCCTGCTAACATGAAAGATTAGATAAAGGAAAGGGCCAAAGAACCATTGATAGAGATAAAAAAAAAAAAAAAAAAGAGCTTTTTGCTTTATGATCTTCCTCTGTGCAACTTTTGGTAAACCCTAACTAATACCTGAAGCTCTGACTGTATTCTCCCTAAACCAAGAGGTCTGGAGTGACAGCCAGGAGTCTGCTCAGGGTGACAGCTGTGCTACTAACTTCCATTGAAGAGCACTCCTCCAGCACGGGCCCTTGGTGCTAGTTTCCCACAGACAGCCTGCTTTATTGTCCTTACTGACAAACCATGAGCACAGCAACCTGTCCAGAGGCTCATCCAGACAGAACCAGCCACCAGCTGCCTTTGAGGAGAGATGCTGTGGCAGCCTTTCTAGTGTACTCTGCTGGAAAGTTGGTTGTTTGTAAAGATGGAAATATTATGGCTTTTATAGGATATTTATTTGTGTTCTATAAAATGGAAGTTATGTTACCCAGATCCATGCATATGTGACTTAAAGTGCATGGTGTCGTTTGTATATTCATTGACGTAAACGGAGATAGCAGAGCTGTGCCCTTATGTTCTTAGTAATATTTATTTTAAATATTAAAATGAGTCTTCAGTGTCTAAATAGACAGAGATCTTTGAAGATCTACATATCAAAATGAGTTATTGCATAGATTGAAAATGCAAGGAAATTAGGCCCCCCATTTATCAGTCAATTTAGTTAACTGTATTATGAAAACTCAAGTTGTAACCATTTCGTTTTTACTTAAAGCGCTTCTTTGGGATATGTTCCTATTCACAAATTTTATTTCGGTTATAGAGCATCTCTGTATTCTGTTAGTTGATAGAAATGGTGTGATGACACCATGTAACCATGCTATAGACGACAGTATATTAAGTAGCAAGAACACTGAGGGATGCTTTTTAAATTAAAAGTTGATTTTTGCTGTGATATGTGTGTAGTATTTTATTGTATATGTAAATCTGTATATTAGCAATTTTACATTAGTAAATGAATTTATACACACATTATATATTGTATATGTAACGTATCTATAAAAAAAGCTAAAGCAGCAAGCCTGTTAAATCGTAGACTATGCATGGGAAATTTGGTGCCCTTTAAAAGACTTCCTTTCTTTGCTTAGTCAGGGCGCTGTTGTGATGACTTAGACTGTGCTCATTGTTGAACACTGTCACGCCAGAAAGGAGCAGACGAGATGGAGTCCAGGGTCTGTGTGCCATACTCCTGGCGGCATCTACTTTTGTGCTCCTTTTACTTGTCTGGGCTACGAAATGTGCTCTCCCATCCCTATTCGTCTCTCTCTCTCTCTCTTATTTGAACACTGCCTTATTATAAGCACTTACTATCATTTCAACTTGTAATAAAATATTGCCTATAAAAGGATGTCAAGTTAAAGGTACGCAATTCACAGATGCATTTGAAAATGCATGTGGTAAGCTTGAAAATCTTTTCACTGGGTAACATGAAATGAGAGCTTGCTTAGGTCTTAGGAATTTGCTTTAATGTCCAGTCTGAAATATTTTCTGATATAGAAATAAATCAGTTTTGAAAGAATGCCTGTTAATAAATGTTGTATAACTTCCGTTTGATTAAGTCTTCTTAAAAGATATATAAAAATCACATAATACTTGTAATATCATAAAATCTACTCAGAAAAATCTTTTATTGCTGAGGTTCCAATCCCCAGTGTAGTAGAAACTTCTATGCTTTTTTTTTTAGTAAAAGCAGACATAAAATCTTTGTAGGAAACATCCTTTTAAAGAAATTACTTTAAAAATATTTGTTTTTGTAAGCTTTCACTGAATTTTCTATTCTATATTTTTATGATTTCATAAAATATTACAACATTGAGTATGAAAGACAAAAGGTTGTCTGTTTTCCTTTAACATATCTAATTATTTTTTCTTATGAAATCCAGGCGACGTAGTTACAGGAAGCGATGTTCAGGTTTCTGTTCCTGTCCAGGCTCTAACTGACCTCCAAGGTACAGTTGCCACCTCTGTCTCTCTCTCTCTATCTTTCTCTGTCTGTCTCTCACTCTTTTCCTCTGGCCCTTCCCTACCCCTCTCATTCTTTGGCATTTGCTACCTCACCCCATGCTACCCTACCTTCAGTATCAAGTCCCAAACTCATTTTCCCAAACTCATTTTCTGGCCCTACCCTCCATTCAGTGTTTCGGACCACTATCATAGCTTGGCCACTAAGTGGCACTGTTGTGTAAAACAAAAGTTTACACTCAAGTCCTGCTTTGGTGGCATCAAGCTCTTATGTGACTTTTCTCTTTACTGTACAGTCTTTTTCTTTGCAAAATATGATTCAGCCTATGTTTGAGGTCATTTTAACCATTATTCTCTGTAGGGCAGCTGGCACAAGGAGGGACTTTTGTTATTGGATAGGTTCTCTGTAACATTTGGCAAACTTTTGTTTCTATGCTATGATTACCCATATTTCACCTAAAAAATTACCACCGTCTTTCTTACAACCTGTTTTTGATATAAGTATCACCTTTATATTTAAAATGTTGTCATCCAATTTAACCCGTGCAACAAATCGTCATAAATAGTTTGTGATAATTAGTTTGTGATAGTTTGGTTTATAGTCAAAAGCAAAAACATTTTTATTATCCATGAGTTTAGTTTTTCAGAACTTCCTATGGGATTTTAAATAATAAATATTTAAGATTGCTTTATTAATTTTTATTTGCATCTTTTAGGTAAAATATGTCATAAAGAGAATATTTATGTCATATGGATTCTTTAAGTCTAAATTGAGAATAATACAGTATTAAAACTTATACCATTAATTAATTTATATGGATATTAATTTAAAATATCCATATAATGAACTGTTTGTATTAGAGCACAAGTCATCATTCCGTTTTCTTTCACTGAGATTCCATATTCAACAATAGTTATTCTAGTTTATCCAAGAAGCATTTGTTTAAGTACCTGCTCTCTGTCAAGCTGTTTTGTTGGCCCCATGGTTTCCCACAGTGCCACTAGCTTCTTGCTGTAGATGACCAGTCAAGACAACTTAGTTTGAAACTAGCCCTTTTTCTGAAAGCGTTTAGAATTCCCTTCGCCTCCCGCCAACACTGTGACAGAGAGGGTGTCACTCTGATAAGGAAGGTTCCAGTCACCTCATGACACATGGATTCTTAGCCAGTGCTGAAGACCCTGGAGAGGGTGGAGCAAGGAGGTGACCCTGCATCTCTGACCTGGGAGTCATGTGTGCTCCCTCAGCATGCCTCCTAAGGAGCTTGGCAGGGAGAACAGTGAGTGGTGGCAGCTGGATGGCAGCTGTCTGTGCTGAACAGGAGAAAGCAATAAAGAAAATGAAGAAATGAAGTGAGTATCAAGCACACTTTCAGAAACCATTGACTGCATACAGTCACGCAGTAGTGTGTTTGGTTTGGTTTGTTTGTTTGTTTGTTTTTTAAGAAAAAGGAATATAAAGTCTCATGATTTAGGGCAATAAATAATTTTTAGAAAATGATTAGAAAGCTTTCTTTTATATTTTGTATTATAGATATCAATCACAAAACATTTGCTACTGAAAATTTTGTTTTTTAAGATTTAATTCTATATATTTCTTTTATATCAGTTTAGATGTTTCATTGCCATAAATATCTTGAAAGTTTTTATTTGTGCCATATATATTAATACATACATATGCTTACCACCTGAAGAGATAATATTCCATATCCCAAGTAGCCATCATTATGTTTCATTTGATTGCTTCTAAGGGGAGAAATTGAGGAGGAAGATGGGAGTCACATTAATTTAACAAGAATCACTTGTCTGTAGATGACTTCCCTTGGGAACCATCAAGAAGAAAGGGGCCAAGTCAATAAAATAAGAGACAGCTTCTCCTCCCAGAAGCACCAGAAGAGATAGTGTTTTAAACAAAGGAGTTTCTTTGAAAGTGTCTATACTGTTGAGAGTGGTGAGTGGTGAGCCTAAGGTGGACAAACAGCTCCAGTGTGTTTATCATAATGTTATAAGACAAACAGTTTTCTTAGTTTGACAATGTGATTTTTATGGACTACTAAATTAATGAGTGTCCTGGCTGGGTTTGTTTGGTGAATTGGTTAATGAATTATTATTTTTTCTTTTTTTGGTTTGGGTTTTTTTTCTTATTTTGTTTTTCTCAACTTGACAAAGAAAAATAAAAAATAAATGTTATCTGAAAAGAGGAACCTCAGTTGAGAAAATACTTCCAACAGATTGCCCATAGGCAAGTTAGTGGTGCATTTTCCTGATTTATGATTGAGGACAGTGGCCATCCCTGGGCAGGTAGTCCTGAGTCGTCTAAGGAAGCAGGCTGAGCATGCGATGGAGAGCATCCTACCCTGAGTTCCCATTCGGACTTCCCTCAGTGAGGGACTGTGAGTTGTAGGCTGAAAAAAAGTCCTTCCTCCCCAAGTTGCTCTTGGTCATGGTGTTTTATTGCAGTGAGACAGAAATTGGTACCAAGTCTAAGTATTGCTTTGACAGACCTAACTATGTTAAACCATGGTATGAGGAGGATTTTTGAAGGACTTTGGAACTCTAGGCAGGAAAAGCCACTGATACTCAGAGCTTAATACTTATCTGTTGTTGTGGGAACTTGAAAGGTAATCCTGAGAGCATTGCAGACAATAGAGGCCTAGCTTATGAAGTTTCAGAAGGAAAGACTATGGCAGGGCCACTTACACTATATATATATGTATGTGTGTGTGCATGTGTGTATATATACATATATATATTTGTGTGTGTATTACACTATATATTATATATATTACATTATATATATATTTGCCACTTATATTTTTAATTAAGCACATCTTTAATCCCAGCTCTCAGGAGGCAGAGGCAGGTGGATTTTTGTGAGTTCAAGGCCAGCCTGATCTACACAGTGAACCCAGGATAGCCAGGAGCATAAGAGAAACCGTGTCTCAAAAAAAAAAAAAAGATAGCAACATGCCATCTTAGGGACAAATAAAAAAGGAAAGACTGATGATGTCTTAGTGTGTCAAGTTGACAAGGGTCAATTGTGTTGGGTAGGTGGGTTTTTTGTTTTGTTTTGTTTTTTTCTTTTCAATTTGACACAAGCGAGATTCATCTGACAGGACCAAACCTTGACTGAGAAAATGCCCCCATGAGATCTGCCTGTAAGTAAACCTCTGTGGAGCATTTCCTTGTTTGATATGGGAGGTCACAGCTCATTCTATGGGTGCTGTTACCCCAAGGTGGATCACCCTTGAGTATATTAAGAAAACTAACTCAACAAACCATATAACGCAAGCTAGCAAGCAGTGTGTTTGGTTTGTTTGTTTGTGTGTCATTGTCATTTCTTGAGAACAAGGTCAGAATTTGCCTTTTTTTTTTTTTTTTTTCAAAGTCCCCATTCAATCTCATGTTTCCTTAATGCTAGGCCACATTTTCTACAGGGTATATGACACGGGTCTTACCAGAAAGATAGGGTAGTGTAGCTTTGCCAGGGTCCAAGTCCTAGCTGTGTCATTGCCTTGCTAGATGAGCTGGACTAGTTACTGAACCTCTTGTTTCTAGTGAAAGAATAAGAACAGCCACTTGCATTACTTATGGGATGTTGCCATAGGACCTGTAGAGATGGTGATGATGGTAGCCTCAAATATCTTCCTGGTTTTTAGAATTAAACTATAAAGGAGCCTTTTGTTCAGTGCAAATTACAATAGTAGCCAACACTGTTACACTTCTTAGTTGTTCCAATATTCTAGACACTTTTGGGGGGGGGGCAAGGAACTAGTACCCACTCCATCAGTGCTTATCTTCCTTAGTCAGGCTAGAGCAAGGATGTTCCATGTTCTTCAAGTATAACCTGCTTTCATTCAGCATTCTGCCATCAATATATATGTCTTTAAAGAGTACAGATGAACCTCTGCACAGACAACAAGCTGTTCTGGGACAGCAAACCAATGCTTTCAGTGTTCTCATGTATAAAATCAAGCCAAAGGCAAGTTGCTCCTAGGTGTTTCCTTTTCACTCCCCTGAGCGGCTTTTCTTACCACAGTCCCCTGAATGTCCTAGCCCCTTGACTACTTACTTTGCTCTTACATCTTCATCTCATGTCTGGATTCAGGTCTTCTAATATTCAGCCTGTCTGTTTAAGAGTGTACTCTGGCTCCTGTTGGTCTCATTGAGTCTTTTGTGAAAAAAAAAAAAAAAACCCACAAAATTATTATCCAGAAGATATAACATGAACATATGATATACTATTTCTTCATCCTCTGTCCTTCCTTACAAGACATTTGCCAGTCAAGGCTCTTAAGAGGTTCTTGACAAATAATTTCCATTGTCTTGGATGCCACTTGCTTTGTGTATTTGATAGGTAAAGAGAATGGTGTAGCCCACTTCAGAGTATCCTTGGATAATCAGAATGTAGCTTTGATTTTAGGGCACCGCAGCAATGTGCTTCATGTCTAGTGTAATGCACCTATTATTTATGCTTTCTACCTAGGGTAGTTCAACTCCTGAACCACAGTGTAACTTATGAGACAGGAACATGCCAAGAATACCTATCCCTTGGCTTAGTAAGGATTGGCTATTTACCCCAGTGTGCCATGCCATTGCCATTGCCCTTTCTGAAAACTCTTCAGCCCAAGACAAGACTGCTCATGCAGAAATGTTTTCTGAAGATCTCGGGGGGGGGGGGGGGGAGACTCAATACAATCTCTACTTTCTTAAGGTCTAAACATTGGCATTTTTAAAATAACAAAAATATTATCAAACCAATTTGCATAGTTAAGGAAAATATTTGTACAGAGTTTTTATGTGACACCCAGGATTCAGAAATGTATTTATTAGTAATAGCATCATTTTAAAGCTGTTTGACTTACTCTAACACACACACACACACACACACACACACACACACACACACACACACATCCTTAAGCTAATGAATTAAACTTCCTGAGCCTCAATCTTGTCTTCTATAAACACCTCATTGAATATTTAGGAT